CTCCAACTGGTCCATGTCCTTCTTATGTTGGGGGCTCCAGAACTGGACGCAATACAATTTAATATTATACAATATTATTACAATACAATACAATATTATTCCCATATTCTGACCACCCCTTCCACTGGCGTAAGCCAGGAGCAAAGCCTTCCCAAGCTCACACTGCACTCCCAACTCAACTCCCCCTTGGCAGCCGGGAAGCCTCCGCAGCAGCCGTGCCGTTCCCGTTGCCTCGCTCCTCAGGCAGCTCTACACACACAGCACAGCTCACACCCAGGACACGTCTGGTCTTGCAAAGCTGAGGTTCCTACAACAGGCCCACGCTGGAGATTACTTCAAACCTTTCTGCTCTGGCTCCGCGGAACAACGAGCACCTCGGGAATACAGCTCTGGTGCAGCTCCACGAGATGCAAATATTTACAGTGGGTGTAAATCCGAGATGGGTATCTCCCCACCAGAAGTAATTCCCCCAAGACAAAAAGTAAAAACAAAATTAACAACTGGGCTTGTTGATCATCTGCATTAACCCACTTACAGCAACCGTGGCGTTGAGGAAAAACATGATACAAGTTTATACACAGTCCAGTTGGGACTCACCAAGTCTAACAATTTTTGAGCTGGTGAGTCTAGATTTCATTTTTAATTTGGTAATAAATCCACACATATATCCAATATTCAAAATAAACTGGAACAGCAGCTTCCTAGGACTCGATTCCCACACTAGTGCTCCTGTATCTTCACACAACGTTCTCAAATCCCATTAACCACTGTATGCAAACATACACATGAATGACATGTTTTGTCCCACTTGAGCCTATCGGAATACCTGTGTTAGTTCCAGCAGTCAGTGTTCCATCACAGAGACCTGATTTTGTAATTTCTTCACAAATAAAATCCCTACTGATAGTACCAGCAGGAGTTTTGCATTTCAAAGGCTTGTGTAAATGGCTCTGGAAATGGGAGATCTAACACACCACTCCTGGTTGTTTCATCTAAGCACATCCAGAAGTGTTCAGAGACAGAAGAACTGCAGTATAAAGCTCTCAACATCTCCATTAGTTTTCCACTTCATCAGAAGTGTTCAGAGACAGAAGAACTGCAGTAAAGCTCTCAACATCTCCCATTAGTTTTCCACTTCAGGGACACAGCTTGACTCACCAAAAGGTAAAGGGAGCAATTCACAGTCTGGATTCATCTTGTTGGGATTACGGCTCTTTTACACAAAAGTGCACAAAAACGATGGCATCAACACCACTGTCTGATTCTTTGCACTTGACTTACGGAAAATCTGCAGTTTATGGAAAATCCTTACTCTAGGAAATTTAGCTGAATGAGAAATCTCTAGCCAACGCCATGCAAGAGAACCTAGTGCACCTAATCCTAACAAAGCAGAGTAACGTACCTCCTTAAAGTTATCGAACGCAGATAAGATGATTTCATGCCCTCCTCTGACGAGGCAAACGGCTGCTAAAAGTTCCAAGACAAGGGCCTTTGTCCTGCGAAGAAAAGAAACGGCGACAGTCAGTGACCACCACATCATGAACCCCCTTCCTTCCACCTGCTTGCAAAAGGGATGTGGAGACACTGGGAGAGGCAGTTTGCATCCCGGGTAGTTTTCATCTCTTGAAACCAGTAAACCTGCAAGATGCCTAACACTGAGCATCATCTGGTCCTGGGCATTTTGACTTTCCCAGGACCATGCAGTTTTCCCCCATTTTAACACTCCTCAAAACATGCAAAAATTTACATCACAGATTATACTTGTGGAAATCCGAGCAAACCAAAGGCAGTTGCATAAATCCGGCAGAGAAGGACCGAGTCACCCTTCCGCAGCTCGTACTCCCGGAGAGCTCCCCTGCCTGCCCCCGGAGCGGCGGCAGCCTCGCACCGCCGGCATCACCGCACGCAACACAGCCCACCTCCTCTGAGCCCACTTTTTAATCAATGTGCTTATAATTTAGATCTGTATTTTTTTTTTCTGATACAAATCTGAATTATTTTCCATGATAATTTGTATTATTCAGAGCCACAACCAAAGATGTGGTTCACTGCAGGATGCCTTAGCAGGACTTTCCCCTCTTGAATCAGAAATCCAGGCAATTGATTGACAGCAGTGCTAACACAGGCATATTAATGAGAGAAGACAAATGATTACTGAAAAAAAAGCATGCAATAGACTCAGCGTAACTCCAGCATAAATAATCCCCAGAACTTCCTTACAGGCTTCACACAAGGCAAAAGCACCAACCGGACTTTATGGTCAGATGAGCTCTGAGCAGATATTAACATCATGCAGACACATGTGAAATTAGTCTCATGCTAAAGCACTGACTCAAACCAGATGTTACAGAAAAAGAAATACCTTTTGGCTTTCAAAGTGTCAAGGTTATCTTTGGAAACCAGATAAAATGTTCACTTTCCTAGGAAATTTTAAATGTATCATTTGCAATTCTTACTCATCATTTTTTTTTCCCTGCCACAAGAAGAAAACCCAAGCTCTTTTCAGAAAGGATCAAGAGGTTCTCATCATGGATCTTCAGTAACACCCCCTCCAAGGGCTGTGAGCCGTGCGTGCGGGGAGAGGGGAGGGCGATCTCCGTGAGCCCAGGGGCATGCCGGGGTCTCCGACGCTGCCCAGAGCACTCACCCACCAGCTGCCCACACATCTGGGGCTGGGATGGGGAGAGGACAGTTACAGCTGTGTCGGTGGCATCTGTCTGGGCACAGCCAGAGGAGACAGAGTCCCTACAGTCGCCTGGCCTGCCCGCTCCGGCAGCACTGAGCCCAGCAGCGCCCACGGTCTGGGCATGGGATCAGCTCTGCAGCATCTCTCAGAGCTGCTGCTTCCCTTTCTGCACATCTCAGCCAACCTTAAGCACTCCAAGCTCTGGTTTCTTCAAAAATTATGATGGGGCTAAACCGAAAAGAAATCAGGTTTTGAACAGCATTAACATCGAGTTTTGTCTTCGGATCATTTTAGCCACGTTTGAAAGCAATTTTTTTTTTTTAATAAACAGAAATCTAAATAACCCACTTCTTTTAAAACTGACAATGTAAGATCTCTCTTGATCACCTGATTTCCAGGCACAGGAGACCAAAAATGATAAAAACAATAAACTTCCCATATCCTTCCCATTTATCCCGTGCCTGGGCTTGCTGACTTAGGGCTAAATAAACGCAAGGAAGGAAGTACCTACTTCCATCAGGACAAGATTTCAAGCAGTGCACTGTAAGGCAAGCAGAGAGCCTATGTAAAGGCTATATATACACACATACATAGTGCTGTTTAGTTTTTTCTCATCCCCTGGTTTCACCTTCCCTTGCAAACATCAGTACATCACATTTGGTTTCGTTGAGACATGCAGGAGGTCCGGAGCTCCAGGTGCCTGCCACTGCAACACTATTGCTGTGGCTGAACAGCAACCCGACAGAGAGCAAGAAGGGAACCCTCTCTCAAAGAAATTCAAACCTAAGGACCCCTCAGACAACATCTAGTAAAGATTTTCCTTCTCTTCAGGAAAATCCCACGCTAAGCTGCTCGTTATCAGCAGGGTGTACTTTGCACTGCAACAGAGCTGCAGTGCTTAAGCAGCAAATTTTTAGCTGAAGAGTCAGTGGCTCCTGAAACCAACAGAATGAGGTGGCCATTGCTCATCTATTTTGCACCATAATACAGATTTAATCTGATTCAGAATGAAGTCTGAGTTTTGCCACAGGTTTGTGCAGAAAAATACCCCTGAAAGTCTCTTTCCACGTACTCTTTACTTACCTACTTCTTAAACTCTCTAAAAACACGTGCAGCCTACCTGGGATTCTTGTTGTTCAAACTTAGTGCAATTTCATTAACGGCATGTGGATGTGACATGACCATGTTGAATCCATACTGAAAAGAGAAGAGGAAAACATTGTCTCAGTTTTGAGACTGAAATGATTATTTTTGAAATCCAACAAATTACCTGTCTCTGACCAGATCTGGCAGCAGTCTCTGGCAACGCTGGAAGTCAAACAAAATATTGTCCAGTTTACCAAGGCAGCCAGCACATTTCCATCCACCACCGTGCCTAACTTCTCTGCCACTAGCAGTGGAAGGACTCGGTTTGGTCATGTTAGTCAACAAAATGGGGTCCAAGAGCTGCTCCTACACCACTGCCAACCCCTCTGCTCGTCATTTCCTCCCTCCAACGCCTTTTCAATTCTGACAGTCAAAAGTGCCACTTACTCCCTAAAGAGGAACCTGCAATTCAGTGCCAAAATCACCCCTTTTCCAGCACGCATGCTGCCATAGAGCGACTGCAGCGTGCAGTTACTGCACCAGTACTGCTGGCTTTGCCCTCCAAAAATGAAAAAAGGAATTGCTTTGGAAAATACCGGACTGGTTATTAGCACAGGATTGTTGTTTGCATCCTTCCCATCAGAGATAAGGCATCCTGTAAATCCCAGGGAGTTAGTATCCCCGAGGGCAGAGTTCACATATGCATTAGAAACACCTCGTACGACCACACAAGACGTAATGAAGGTGTTCACCTATATTATAGCCTTTCTCTGAAATACGTGACTTTTAGCTGTCACTTTTTTAGCAAAAAATCCCAAGTCTCTGAGGCTATCTGGGCATGTCCTATGACCACAGCATCCCACTGATGAGCAAAGAAACTCATGGAAACAGGATTAGCTTTGGTCTGGTTTCTTCTTTGACTTGCAGTTATCGCAACTGCCTCGTGACGACCATGTACCAAGAGCCAAAGCTTGGATTTTCCATCAGCCTATAGCTCTTCTGAAAAATTCTCCTATTTCCTAAGCCTTAGTACGGAATTTTGAGACAAACTGTAACTTCAGTTGTGCAGCTGCATGTCTAATAAGTTAAAGCCAGTTGTGTCCATCACTGCAAAGAGGAACCAGTTTGATATGCACATGCTCTTATCTACACATGTACTAAATCATCCGTGTGGGTACACAAGGACTATGTTACATCGCTTCCCAAGTTCACAAGGACTATTTTACACTGCCTGAGTAAGAATTCAAACCTTCACCTCAGTTTTACCTTCACAATTCACCCCTAACCTTTTCCTCCCCGCTCCCAACAGAATATTTACATGGTCGAAAAGAACAAAAAGGGAAATACCTGGTAATTCATTATGGCCCGTAAACACATGATGCAGACGTGAACGTCATCTTTTTTACTCACTAATCTGGAATTTTTTAGTGTTCTTCGGCTTGGCAAGGTGTTATACCTGCAAACAAAAACAGCTCTCATCAATCACAAGACTAGCTTTAGGTGGCAAGACTAAAGGAATGGAAACATCCCTCCACTGGGGGAAAAGGCAGACATCCTTCCGTCCTGCAGAGCAGATGACCATCGGACAACACACAGGCAAATAAAGCAGAAAAAAAGCCACGGGCTGTTCACACTGGCAGCAAAGGAAGTTCCAGATGCCCAGGATGCCACCAGCTGCAGCGTGACCCAGCCAAAGCCAGGTACCTCCAGCTCTCATGGCATGCAGCGGGATAAAGAACGACCCACCCGCAAGAGAAGTTTGGCTGCCCCATCCCTGGAAGTGTTCAAGGCCAGGTTGGATGGGGCTTTGGGCAACCTGGTGTAGTGGAGGGTGTCCCTGCCCATGGCAGGGGGGTTGGAACTGGATGATCTTCGAGGTCCCTTCCACCCTTAGCCATTCTATGATTCTATGATTCTATGATTCATTCTAAGAGGAGGAATTCCGTATTTTTTTCCATGCACTTTACTTCGCACGAGCAACAGCCCAGACTTTTAATGGAAATGAACATTCACAGGCATCAGCAAATGTATTAATTC